GAGAATTCTATTAGTGATTGGGATGTGCTTTGGGAGCAGATGGGATCCACATGGCAGGGCTGGATTTAACCTCGTGTGTTCCTCATGTGGCAGCCTGGGGAGCTGTGGCTGGGGAGTGCAGGTTTCTGCACAGAAAGAAGCTGCTATTGAAGGAATTTAAATATTGAGAAGCTCCAAGTCTTGAGCTGAGTGACCTGGGGTCCACGAGGCTTTTGATTCTGGTGGGAAAGGCAGAAAAACATGGATCAAAAGGTGTTCTGGGCTGTTGTGAAGTCTCACAATCGTAGTCTGCTTCCACCCACGTTACTGTGGTTTTTTCAGACCAAGGCACAGAATAAGTCATTTTGTCCTAGATTTCTCATTAAGAGTCTCACTCACTCCAAGCTTCTGCTAATGCAGGGAATTAAGTGCTGGCAGTTTTGGGCAGCACTCCTGTGGGATGTAGTGAGTGTACAGGGATGGAGGTGAGAGGGTCACAGATCAGTGTGTGACCGTGAGCTCCAGGCTCTGTCGGTTTGCATAACGAAGTGGGAATGAGGGGAGCTGTACCTGCTGGGATTTGTGTGCTGCCTGTCCCAAATGAACCTGTGTGGCATTCCTAGAAGGAGCAGGAGCATTAAATGGATAAACAGAGTGTAATAAATGCCCTGTCAGGTGTGCTTGCACTACACACTGGCAGAGCTGTGGGTGTTGGTGCAGGCAGCACATTTGACACCCCACCTTCCATTTGTGTCTTTAGATCCAAAGGAATTGATCTGATTCCAGGCAAGGTCAAGAGATTTGCTCCTAACTAACATTGTGAGCCTAAGCAACCTGATCTAAGTTGGGTTAAACCCCAAAGGGTCTTTCCAACCTACGATTTTTTTATTCTTTGACCTTACTTGAAGTAGTACTGAGAAGCTGTCAAGCCAAGTATTTAAATATCTTTAAAAATGTGGTTCCTGTTGCTTAGGTAATGTTGCCCTAAGTCCTGGAAGCACCTCTTTGAGATTCTTACTAATGAATCCACGATGTTTTGAAATCCAGTTGCACTTTTATTATATTAAATGAAAGGAGCTTGGTGATAGAGGTGTCTGTGTAGGACATTCCCTCCGAGACCAGTAACCTAAAAACACAGTAAGCTGGAAATGAAATGCAGCAGGGGAATCTTTACTGCTTTGTGGAATTAGACTGGTTCAGACTGAATGGTTTAATGTAAATCAAATCCCCAGTGCCAGACGGCACAAGGTAGAGAGACTTACAGCTGTGAGAATTCCTGTTCATATTCTGGAAGATAATAGCAGACTTTGTGGCTGTTTTGGGTACTGTGCTGTTCAGTCACAGCTAAAATCCTGCATTTTGGTAGCTTTAAGATTCTCTCTGGCTTTGTTTGATTCTATTTACTTGCAAGTGAGAGAGGATGCCAAATGTTATTAATTTTTCTTCCCTGGAAATCTTGTGTTGCTGGGATCTGAGGAGGCTCCGGATTGCTACTGGAGCTGCAAACAAGGATTTGGTGGTGACACTGGAGCAGCACCTCTGCTGTGAGGGTACCAGGCACAAGGAAATCCATCTCTGTCCCTGTGTGCAGATCTCCCAGGGAGTGTGTGTAAAGTGAAATAGAGCTGCTGTGACATGTCCTGCAGGGCTGGGCAGGAGCTGACAGGACAGGCCAGCCCGGGTGTTCCCCATGCCCAGGGGCTTGTTTGGTGTCACTGCCCTTCCTCTGGGACAGCCCCTTTGTGGTGTGTCCTTGCAGGAACTTAATCTTTCCCTTCTGTGGAAGGACAGCAGATAATCCTTAATAATCCAGCAGGAGTGTGCTCAAAGTGAATGCTTTGAATTCCTGAAGGTGAAAATCTTCATCCCGACTCTTTGAGGATCTGCTCTGTTTAATCCTGGAGATGCTGGGACACCGGGCTGGCTGGGTGTGCCTGCAGGGACAATGCTGCCTGAATTATGGGATCCATTTATAAACACCCACAGCCTGCCAGGGCTTCTCTTTATTCTTCCCCGCAGCTCTGCTGCTTCCTGTAGGATGAATTGATCTCAATTAGCTTTTAAGTAAAGTAAAAGGTTTCGATGGACTTCGATCCAGCTTTGTTTCTGCAAGTGAAGAAGATTCTTTCACGTTGGTTTTTGTGTGAACACTAAATTTAAAGTCAATACATTCCTTACTGGGAATTAGAGTTGTAAACAATCCTAGTTACTATTTGTTTGCCTTTAATTTTAGATTACCTGGCTTTTATTGTGCTAGGAAATTCAGCTATACTTGTTGCTAGATAAAATTTTTATTTGGTAATTTAATGAGTTTATCTGATTGGAAGCTGAAGTCAAAATAAAAATTAATGAAACCATCGTCTTGTTCACTGATGAAATCCAACTTATTTTTGCAGGATGCACAAGGTAGAAACATTGTTAAAACATGTCTAACAGTGATAAACAAGAGAAATCTCAACTTGTAGAACCACTTGGCCTGGTTTCTGTAGTAATGGAAGTGCTCAAGGGATTTTCAAACACGTTTAAGCAGCTGCCTGCCAAAGCATCAGGCTTTATCCTGCATTTGAACACCCTGCTGGATTAAGAGTGCTGGTTCTGTATAGCTGCCTGTCTCTCTAGAAATGGGATCTTACACAGATTCTATTATGCTTTTTTTTAAACACAAGAGCTCTAAGGGAGAACGAAAAGCTTGAGCTGAGGTGTCTTTGCTGTGAAGCATCTGGTCTGTGTCAATAAACTGTTCTGCACCTGGCTCCAAGCAAGAACTGCTCCTTCCCAATAGGAGCTGGAGGTGCTGCTGGTGGCAATGTCACTGCCTGGACTTGGCTCCATCGTGCTGAGTGAGCAGAGACAATTCCTGGAGGCCCAGCCATGGCTTGAGCCATTGCTGCAGCCAAAGGCTCTGCTCCTTTAGACAGAACTGTGAAATGCTCTTTAGCTCATTATAGCTAGAGCTTACTGATGCCAAAGATTTAAAATTATATGTCAAGTTGGCTTATTTAGTGATGCTTTTACTATTTCTTTTCATCCAACTTCCATTACTGCTAAATATTTGTCATAAGAATTTCACAGGTTCCTCTGAGCTACCCAATACACTTGAGGCCGAAACATTTTAACAGAGCAAGGCAGAAAACTAATAAAAATGCTAAAACCTTTATGCTTTCCTGTATTTTTGAAATGAATGTGTTATGCATTAATATGTGCAGGTTTTAGGTAAGAAAGGGAATTAAATACTCAGTTTCTAGTTGCACTTGCTCCTGACTGCAGTATTTTATAAGAGGGTGTCCTCAGAGCTTTTTCAAATGTTTATCTGCATTATCCCTTCATAAGCATGAAATGTTAAATAAATTATGAAATGTTGGCTCATTTTCTAGTCCTCCCGAGCAAGTGCTTCCTGTTTTGACAGAAGGGTGAGGCCACTGTGCCCCCTGGGAGGGGAGACAGTGGCTAATATTGGCCATGTCACCTCCCACACTCTGGCCATCATGTGAACCAAAGGCTGACACCTGAGAAAAAGATATTAAAAGAAATAGATGAGTTCACTTTGCCTTTCCAAAGTGGCCATGGGCACCCTTGAATTAACCCCATCCCCCTGTAGCCTGCATTTGGCTTCACAGCAGCCACCATTTGGTCTCAAAGGCCAGAACTTGTGTTGTCAGTGCTGCTGCCTCTGAACCCTCTGAAGGCCCTTGTGACTTCCAGGGCTTTGTTTTATTTTGTGATACTGATACTGGTTTTATTTTTTGCTCTCAGACATGCATTTTGTCCTCTTAAGTTGACTCTAAATGTGATACTTAGGTCACTGTTGGCTGAGACTTGAGTGCAGGACTTTGGCTTTGTTAAGGACAACATTGCCACAGACTGTGCCAGGGCCAGGACCTGCTCCTGGGTGTTTTTCCAGGTATCCCAGAAGACCCAGAGGCTGTCACCTGGGTATGAAGGAAATTGATTTACCTCGAATTTCTTCTCTCTTGGTTATAGCAGCCACTTACCACAGCTCTTCCAGCAGCAGCAACACCTGGCCAGGGAGGAAGGGGCCCTGGTCTGCTCTCCTAAACCCCTGAGGCAGGACATGGTGCCAGATGGGTGTCCCAAATGTCCTTTAAATGTGCTGGAGCGTCTGGATTGGGCCATGTAATGGATGGAGCGAGTCCCTGCAAACACAACCAGCTGTGGGTGTCTGAATTTGAGGGGAGGGGGATTATCCTGTTCAACAAAACAGTCATGGATTACTTTTTTGAGGCTGGCTTCAGCTACAGGATAATGCATAATGCTTGCCCAGCTCTTTGAGACTGTGGTGTTAAATACACATGGACTAATCCTCACAGGAATGTGTCCTGTGCTGGCTCTGCCTCTCCAGCAGTGGCTGCCCTGCATTTTCTACTCAGTAGCAGAACCACGGCTCTGCCATGCTGATTTATTCATGCTGAGAAGGGGTGTTCCCTTACAGGAGCACTGAAACTTTGCAAGAAGAATGATCCTGTGGTGTGTCCCAGCTCTGAAATGGCTCAGCAGAGGTGGGGGGGTGAGACGGGGGTCCACATCCTCCAGTGGCCGGGATCAGATGAGCCTCAGCCAGCAAATGTTTGCTTTGCCTTCTTCAGGGTCCCATGGGGTGAAGCTGAGGCTTCTTAAAAGGTCACCAGAGGCTGGGGGTGGGGAGTGTGACAGATTCCAAGTCTGGCCTCTGAGGGCTTGAGCCAATTCTGGGAGTGTAAAATAAGTTTTAAAGGCAGCAAGGAGTGCAGATTTTGTAGGTGCTTAAGTTGTTTTGAAACTGGTGCCTGGACTGACTGTGAGTGCTGTGAGCTGCTCAGTAAACACGCAGCCACAGTCCCAGAACAGGCTGGGAAATAGCCGTGATGCTTTTCAAGGAATTCTTTGGAGAGGAACAAGTGATCCATTTCCACACAGAGTGACTGTAACTGGCAGAGTAGAATCATAGAATATGCTGAAGGGACCCATCAGGTTGATTGAATCCACAGCTCCTGGCCCTGCACAGGACACCCCAGGAATCCCACCATGTGCCTGAGAGCTTGTCCAAGTAATTTTAGTAACTTAATAATTTACAATTAATTGCTGAGTTGTGAGTTTGGCAACTTAAAATTAACCAAACTGACAATTGTAACTTTACCAGTTACAATTTTTGTGTTGAAGCTGCACAAATGACAAATGCAGTCCAATGGGGAGTGTGTTTAAATCTGTTCCTCCTTGAGCTCTGAGCTTTAAATCAAGAACACTGGAGAACTGAGCATTCCTTTTCACGGGAGAGCATAGACAAACATTGCTCTGTGCAGCTTTTCCCTTATAACGTGGCACTTTGAAACCAAGACTTGAGACTCTTAAAATTGGGAAAAGAAAGTAAAAATTTTAAGGAACTTGTTTTTGTTAAGGGCGGTGGCTTTGGTTTTTTTAAATTTGCATCCTGATCTGATTCTTTTACCTGGGAGGGTCAGAGTGAGAGAGATTAAGAAAACTACTCCTCCTGTCTCCACTCACCTTGTTTGTCTCATGTGGGGCTTTGTCCTGCCTAAAATGTGTTCTCCAGTCATCCATCAGTGTTACAAATGCTTTTACAATCACTTTAGCTATCACTTGCTTCTTTCCCTCTGGTGCTTGTTAAAAAAGGCTGAAGACATTGCAGCAAATGTTCTGTTTGTGCTCAGCAGATCGTGGCAGGGCTATGGAGAAAAGGTGTCCTGGGATTTCTGTATCTGAGTGCTCTGTGCTGAGCTTGGAGGAGCTGTGGCATGAGGGGAAGTGAAACTGGATCTCATTTCACCAGCATAGGTTAAACAAAAATGAACATTTTAAAGAGTTGGAATCCTCTGCATATGTACTCACTGGAGATGGCAGGGTTGTGCAAGAGGACTTTCTAAACGTTCCTCTAACAGTGCTTCCTTTTTCAGCTGTTTGTTCAGTTTTGTTTTAACAAAATGTTGGTCCTGCACGGACGTTTGAAGAGCTCCATGCAACATAAGGTACACTTGGCACACTGTTGGCTCATTTAATGCTCTTTTTGGAAGGGCTGGTGGCCACGTGCTCCTCCCATGCAGAGTCACCAGACTGTGCTCCCAGGGATCAGGATGTGCCCGGATATGGGGCTGGAGAGATGGGTCAGGCTGAGCTGTGAGCTGGACTTGCTCCATGGCCAACACAGCTTTGAGTTCTTCTCAGGTTAATGTTGCTGTGTTTTGCTTCATCTTTCCTGAAAACTCATTTTTCTGGGAAAAGCAGTTTTATCCATAGCAAGCCCCTCCTGGTGCCTTTGGATCAGACCTGTGTTCCATCACTGCTCTCGTGCTCCCTTCCCTTGCAGGCGTGAATGACAGAGGAGGTGCCCCCGACTGCACTGACGGATGTGAACCTGCGCCTGCTGTGCCACGATGACATAGACACAGTGAAACAGCTCTGTGGAGACTGGTTCCCGATAGAGTGAGTG